GAAGAGATGTACTTTTTCCTTCTTTGGTTGACTAGCTAACAAAATCTATAAAGAATAATCTAATATTGGTATTTTCCGTTAAAGATCCGATATTTCAGCAAAAGACTGGTCAATCTCATGTCATTTTGGATGAAAAAAAAAATCTTATATCAGTGTTGCACTAGGCTTTAATTTTACATGGATTATGACAAATGTAAAGTATATTTACTCAAAATTAACACTCTTTCGTCCATTAAATAAAAACTCAACTGAATTTTCTCAAGTGGGATTTGGGACCTGCGTAAACATTTTAGCCATTATATCCTGTACAAAAGCAAAAAGATCTCAACTTTTTTTCTCTAATCAGTGTAAACTAAACTACAATGCAAAAGCTATGCAAAAACTTGCATTTTTTTTACACAGATCATAAACATACTCATCTAGAAATTGCAATAAATAAAACGGAGCTCTTTACAAATTACAACAACATAAATTAAGATTAAAAAAGAAAAGAAAAGTAAAAGGACAAAAATTGGTACTGCCTGACCTAAATCATTTCCATAAAGACAAAAAATTAACACGTTGGCAGGAATAATTGCTTCTTTCTGGTACCATCCAGAATTCAATTTGCCGTGTGAAAAATGGAAATAGCAGGAAAAGAATAATTACACGATTTGATAATTAATTAATTACCAGTAGGTAGAATCCTATGCACCATAAACCCAAAATAATTCTCACTACACTTATCCTGTTCGCCGCCGCCGCCGTACCTTTATTCCCTAATCCCGGCGGTGAAGACAAGTGGCTAGCTGAACCGTCAATATCCGGCGAATTATCCGGCGAGAGAGAAATCTCCGGCGGGCCAGCTAATCCAGCTACTCCACCACTTGGCTTATTCACCTCAATTGGATTCTTACCAAAAAATTCTCTCGGTAACAAAACTGTGGATACTCCAAATATCGCCACTGGATTTTGATCAAACACCGTTCGAGTCACCGACGCCTGAACGATCCCGGTATCAATAGCCACCGACCCATTAACCCTATAAATATTAAGGGT